GATTTTCAATTGTCTTAATTTTTGTGACAAAACCAAAATTAATTGTGTTTGAGGTTCAACATAGATAAGCCTTCATAATGAAGTAAAATATTCAGTACATTATCGTCATTTACAGAAATATATTAATTTTTTAGGATTGTATTGCAGTTTTTTTCGTCTTTGTCAGGTTTCATGTAATGTTTCAATAGTTTGAGTTCAGCCCAACTGCATTAGGAAACCTGGTTTCCAGATAACAGAGTTCATTGTTCTGACATTGTCACGGCAGCTTGATCTTTGTCTCGTTTTGTCGGTCTGCTTTTCATCTGGCTCAGCAGGAGAGGAACACAGTGCGTCTGCACACTGAAAAAACAAGAAGAGTCTACAAATAGACATGAATTCAGACGTGATAACGGGACAAATGAAAAACATTTAAAGACTTTTAGACTGAAGTCGCGTCTTGATGAGAAAAGTTGGTCAAATATCCCATATTGTTACACAAAATCTCATGTGATCTTGTTAGACATCATGCTCAGTGTTCAATCTGTCATCCTCGTTGATCTGTGGTTGTGAGGTCTTAGGTTTTCTAACTGGTGCCATGTTTTCCATAACCACGCTCAATCTTGCCATCACAGAGGCTGTCTTTCTTGGACGTGCAGGGTTAAAGCCAGCATGATCCTCCAGGTTGCTGGATTATGGTTTATGGTAACACCCCAGGAACCCGTGACTATAAGTCTTTGTGTGGACTGAGGAAAAATATGTGAACACCCCATCAGGATTGAGGCGACTACAACTAAAGGGATCCCAGCTGGGCTACGGAGCAAAAACTGAAGGCTTTTAAAGAAAGTGTTAAATCATATTTAGTTTAGTTTTCTGTGGGAAAGTTATAAACAAATCTCTTACCTGTTGCATAAACAGAAGCAGGGAGATTTAACACTTCTTTGTATGGCAGCATTTCTGGCAGAATTGTATTAATTTTGTTGGTCATGTGATGTAAAATTGAAAGTTTGAAGTTTTCGAAATGTTGAAGACTGCCGTGTGTTAAGATGACAAAATCAGCTTTTTACTATCTTAAAGGGTTCTGCGCAGACTTGTCATTTTTTTTGCTCCAAATAAGGTTCGAGTTAAGGTTTGTAGAGTCTTCTGATAACCATTTCGTCCCATAAAAAGGACACTGCCGTCATCCATCACAACCTCCAGCTAACAAAGAAACCAAACCAGCCAGATGTCCAAGCTGCTTTGCATAACTGCAGAGAAACATGAACCATGTTTGCATGACTGGGAGCTTTTCAAAACACATTACTGTTTCTCTACAGCTGGTCTGAATGTGTTCATTCAAAGGTAATACAACTCAAAGACACAATACAGACAAGAAGACGCCCTCATGACTCAGTTCCCTCAGGTTTTACATCAACAGATTTATTCCTCATTAGGAGACAGAAACATCTAACAAAATGTTGATTTCTGGTTCTGGTTCTATGAAAACTTTATATATTTGAAGTACAAATCTCCTATATGAGTCAGTGATACACTGTACTAAGAGATATGTGTAAGAAAAACTTGCAATGTACAATATTATCGTTTAATATTACAATATCAGTTGTGATAAACCAACATTTTCACCCCATCCTCTCCTGTCATCATCTAAACCAGATGTGGGCTTCAAGGCCACGAGCGGCTCTTGGTTCCACCAAACATGGACGCCCCTTGAGATCTATTGCAGTCCTTCAGGATATCGTCAGGGTATCGTGCAGCTTTGTCCACGCCGTGTTTTCCTTGGAAGTGGCCGTTTTCTTCCAAGTCACCACTCATGTGAAACCCTGCTCGCCCTGGGCCTCCTCCCCGTGTGAGGGTGGAAGAGTTTACTGATGGAGTTGAACCCTTTGTGGTGCCCTTTGTGCTCCTCGTCCTCGGTCCTCTCCCGGTCCCGTCCACCCAGGAGACCCCTGACCTCGGCCGGCGCGTCCTCCTCCAGGTAGTGGAGGGCCTTCCTGCCGCTGTTGTCCCTTTCGTCCACGCTGGCGCCGTAGCGACGCACGAGGGCCGCCGCCACCTCGGCGCGGCCGTGCATGGCGGCGATGTGCAGGGGCGTGTACCCTCCGTGGGACTTGCTGTTGACGTTCACGTCCGCGCCCCGTCGCCCCGAGATCTCCAGGAGCTTGTGGAGCACGCCGCTGTCGCCGTCCTTGGCGGCCCAGTGCAGGGCCGTGAAGCCGGACATGAAGTCCTTCCTCTGGACCAGGCGCGTGTCCCTCAGCAGCAAGGCGTACACGGACCCCCACAGTCCGGATGCACACTTCACCAGCCACTCGTGAGCTAAAGGGTCCAGAGGCACGCATTCATCATCTGTTGGTCTTGTGCTCTTGCTCYGGGGCCTCGCCGGGGGGTCGCCCTCTGTCTTGCCTCCCCAACTTTTCAAATGTGAAAACGTATTAGCAGGCTCGGGGGGAGGTTTTGTTTGGTCTGGACTCTGGTGTGCTGCTGGTGCAGAGTCTCCCCTCTCTGGGGATTTGACTGCTATGACAGCAAACACCACGCCTGATCTGCCCGCTCTGCTCGGCTGCTCCCCGGTGAGATGGAGCACTTTGAGGGTGGTTGAATCCGACAAAGACCTTCTTCTGGGCGGGCTCTCCGTAGCTGAAGAGGAGCAGCGGAGGCTGTGCTGCTCCTCTGGGTGAATCCTCCTGTCTGACTCTGCTGCTGGGACAGGAGCAGGAGGAGGAGGAGGGGAGGTCGGGTTGTTGTTGTTGTTTCGGCTCGAGAAGCTTCGCTCCGGGTTTTCATCTTTCACAAAGTCCTGGTATCTTTTCCTGACGACCACCAGCTTCAGCCCGTCGCTCTGTCGGACCACAGCCACGCTGTTCACCAGCCTCTTAAAGAGCTCCCGCTTCTGCTGCTTCTCCGCCGGACCTCCGCTGTTGATGAGGCTCCGAAAATGACTCACCAGATCACAGTTCTTCACCTGACCCCCGCGCTCCAGGAGGAACGACAACACGGACTCTTGGGTCAAAGACATATTTCTTTAAAAATAAAATAAAATAAAATAAAAAACGACCGAAAAGAAGTAGATTAGAGGACAATACCCGCGGGTTCTCCCCCCTCTGTCTGTCGTCTCCTCCAACCTGCTGCTGCTTCCGGAGACTGTCCCAGTKTGTCCTTTGTCCGGACACTCCTCTGCGGGGCGCCGTTTGTAAAGTTACACTGGCAAAAATTACCAGCGATATGTAGCTTTATTTAGCCTTTCATAAGAAAAAACAAACAAACAAACAAAACGGGAGCATTTTTCAAAGTAATATTTTTATCTTGATATTCATACATTTATAAACGGCGCCCCATACTCCCCGTTTAAAAAGGCTACAGCATTTAAATATATATCCCCATTTAAATATATCACTGAAAGTTTGTCTGACAGACTAAATTAAAGAAAACTAACTCTTGCAGTGTTCGCATATTTCATATATATATATATGTATATATATATACTGTATATGTAAGGTTAGTTGGCTGTGGTGGCCATATTAAATTTGGTTGACTTTAAAAGTTAATCAGTTGTAGATGTTCCTCCAATAATTATCTTCTGGTATAGTTTGGTAACACAACCCCACCACAACTCACATAAGTCCATCTATGCCAACAATTCATGGCAGACAAACTGATTTTAGCTCTGACCTTCTAAGCTCTTTAATAAAAAAAACTTTGTGTTATAAATATTTTGAAAAGTGTAACGATATCTGAGCGCTTGTCACTTGGTAGATTTAAACAAGTTAAAATATCTTTGTGTGAAACAAACTGCAACAAAGAATGAAGGTCTCTCCAGCAACAAGATAAGCTTGAACTATTCTCTGTGTTGTCTTACAAATGAGCTGATAAGGAGTTGGTTGGGTCAGTTTTGTTGAACACAACAGAAATTCTCTAAATATCTGTTCAGTTCAGACAGCTTGGAACATTTAGCTCACAAACGTTAAAGTGTTCCTTTTTCTTTATGTGGAATCTGTCGTAAACAACAACCAGAATGATGAAACATTACAAAAAGTATTTTACTGCATTTCTATGTTGCAGCTGATTTTCAATTGTCTTAATTTTTGTGACAAAACCAAAATTAATTGTGTTTGAGGTTCAACATAGATAAGCCTTCATAATGAAGTAAAATAT